GGGTCATCCGTCTATTTAACTGTTCACCTGCTGAAGGGCATGTGGGTCATGTGTTTATTTAACCGTTCACCTGCTGAAGGGCATGTGGGTCATCCATCTATTTAACTGTTCACCTGCTGAAGGGCATGTGGGTGATCCATCTATTTAACTGTTCACCTGCTGAAGGGCATGTGGGTGATCCATCTATTTAACTGTTCACCTGCTGAAGGGCATGCGAGTCATGTGTTTATTTAACCGTTCACCTGCTGAAGGGCATGTGGGTCATCCATCTATTTAACCGTTCACCTGCTGAAGGGCATGTGGGTCATGTGTCTATTTAACCGTTCACCTGCTGAAGGGCATGTGGGTCATGTGTTTATTTTACTGTTCTCCTGCTGAAGGGCATGTGGGTCCTCCCCACTTTGGGGCTACTAGGAATCGAGCCGCTATACATGTTCATGTCGAGATTCTTTTTGGGGTGAACTCCAGTCTTCATTTCTGTGGGATCAACACCCAACCACGCAATTGCTGGACTGTATGTTTGTATCTTAAACACAGGTCTGACCAGCGACGGATGAGGAGCTGGTTTCGCTGCATCCTCTTCAGCATCTGTGTTGTCCCTCTTCTCCAGTTCAGTCATTCTGATAGAGGTGTGGCAATATTGAATGGTGGTTTGAATCTGCATCTCCCCAGGGGCTGATGATCTGGATCATCTTTCCGTAGGGGGATTTGCACCTGTACACATCCTCCTTGGTGACGACGTGTCAGTTTGTGCATGCGTGTGCGTGTGCGTTTTGCTCATTATTCAACTGAGTTGGTGCCACAGTTGGTAAATGCTGCTAACCGAAGGGTCAGCAGTTTGAATCTGCCAGCTGCTCTCTGGGAGGAAGGGGAGGCAGTCTGGTTCCGTAAAGAGTGCACCCTTGGAAACCCAATGTACTCTCCCCTGCAGGGCGCTATGAGTTGGAATCGACCCAAGGCAATGGACTTAGCTTTGGCGGTTACATTTTGAGTGTGTTCCTTATATATTTTTGATACTTGTCCTCTGGTAGTTTGTTGGTGTGTAAATATTTTCTCCCAGCCTGTGGCTGGTCTTATCTTCCAAGGAGCACAATCATTCAATTTGGGTGAACAGGCCCAATGGTTGGTGCCTGGATGTTCCACGAGGCAAGAACTTCAGCCTCGCTGGAGGTCTTGAAGCGTTTCCCAATTGTTTACAAATACATGGATTTGCATCGAAGTCCGTGATCCAGGTGGAGCTCATTTTTGTAGAAGGTGTGAGCTTGGGCTGAGGTTCTTCAATTTATTTTCTATTTCTCCGGTTTCTCTAACGGCTCTAGCACCATCTATTGAAAGGTCGACATCCTGCTTCCACCAAATTGCCTTTCCACCTTGGGAAAAAGTCGGCTGGTCCTATTCATCTGGGTCTGTTCCTAAGTCTCGATCCCATACACCCATGGTTCTCTGTGTCACCTGGCTATCAATCTGATTGCCTTGATTTCTATGTAATACACTTTGAAATCAGGTAGGCTGATTGTTAAAAACTCGATTCCTTTTCCCCTGATGGGTTTTGGTTCCCAGAGCCCCTGTGCCTTCTCACGTGCATTTTGGAATAATTGCATTAGGAATTTTGACGGGCACCGGGGAGATTAGCATCTTTCCTAGGTCAATTCATCTAACACGCGAGTCAGGGAGTCTCTTCTTTTGTCCTGCCCATGTCTGGCGTCTTCCATTGGTGTTTGTGGTTTTCAGCGTACGAACCTTGTAGCTGCTTTGTTAAATCCACACTGAGGGTAGTTCACATTTGGCGTGGCTTTCAGTGGCACTGTGTTTTAAGTTTTGGTGTGCTCATGTGCCTGGAAGGAGCCCTGGTGGCCAGGTGGGCTACCAGCTGGGATGCCAACCCACAAGGCCAGCACTTCCGTGGGAGGAAGACGAGCCTTTCTCCTCCCGTAAAGACGGGCAGAACTGGACACTCACAGGGGCAGTTCTACCCTGCCAGGTAGGGTCGCTGTGAGTTGGAACTGACTTGAAGGCAGCAAGTTGTCCCCCCATGTGGGAAACAGAAAGATTTCTCCCAAGTCGTCTCCCCCAAATATATGTTAGACTTAGGACACTGCTTGCAGCTAATGGTAAATGATTGTCAAGTTACCTCCCTGAAGGCACTCAGTTGCCACACTAGGTCTGGTCCGACCACAGGTAGGCCCCACTCCCTGCTGTTAAGGACAATAGGCTACTTCTCCCTAAAGGCTTGCAGCCATTAGTCTGGTCCCTGTGGGTGGGGTTTACACTCTACTGACAATGGTTTCTATAGTGAGCCAGAGAACAGGTCAAACCGGTTCAGTGACATCCAAAGTTAGGCTGCCATCCTGAATCTAGGATCTGCCCATCTTGTCACAAGTGTACACTCATTACCTCCCCTTTCTATCATGTGGACACCCCTAGATCACCCCATCCCATTACTGGCACAACCCTTTCCTATGACATATGTCTTCACCTGTAATTAGGGGGCTTGCATGTCCCCAGGGAATGTAAAAGCCTTGGTTAGCAATAAAGATCTCTCTCTCTCCACGTGGACCACCAAGTGAGGCTGAGGTGAGCATGCTACCATGAAACGTGTCTGACTCCATTATTTCAATCTCTCTTCTATCTCTCATGCTCTCTATGACTTTACTATAATCTTAACTTATTATCGCTGTACAATTGTGCCTACCGAACCTGTCATGATGTGTTAGGGTGGGTACCCTGACACCCCCACCCCCTACCCCATGTTCATTGCTATTGCTGTTCCTGGGTGCCGGATAGTCCGTGCCAACTCACGAGGACCCCATGAAGCAGAGGAGTTTCAAAGGCCGTAATCTTTACAGAAGCAGATGGCTATATCTTCCTTTCACTGAGAAGCCGGTAGGTTCAAACTGCCAACCTTTTGCTTAGTAGTCAGCAACAGAACCACTAGGCCAGCAGGGCCCCTTGTTAGAATATAGAGATATCATTGTTTTTTTGTTATGGGCTTCTCTTGTATCCTGTGACCTTGCTGAACACACTTATCAGTTCTCGAAGATACTTTTGCTCACGGAGTCCCTGGGTCGTCTCTCAAGACCATCAACGCCATCTGTAAGTCGGCAAAGGTTTTATTCTCTTCCAATCGGTGTGTCCTAACTCTCCTTCTCATGTCTTATCACATTGACTAGGACGGACTCTCGCACGGTGTTGCGTGTTGGCAGTGAGAGTGGACCTCCTTGCCGCGTTCTACGTCTTAAGGAGCAAGATTTCCTTAGTGGTTGACCAGTATGTGCAACACTATCCGTGGGCTTTGTGGCTGCTCTTTATCAAGTTGAGGAAGTTCCTCTCATGACTCTGATCCACTCTTTGTGCCAAAATCTTCCCTGTATGTTTACGTTTAGGCAAGCAGTTCCCAAAGTGTGGTCTTTGCGTGCTGGAAGGGTCTAATGGCTCTTTCACAGGTGGCCCTGGCCTCTTTCCA